ATTAGCTAGCTCCATTAATCGTGGTCTAGATTGGGTTCTGCCTTTCTCAAAGCAAATTAAATCATATTGCAAGTCAATCTTATCAAAAAGAACGGTTTAGTTGGGTTGTTTACAAGGGCTTTTTCAAAATTGATTGGTGTGGATAAAAAAAAACGCTCTAAAATTAGTTGTTACAGGTGTAGAATGAATGCTTATCCACCTTATATATGTGAATATTCAATTCATAGCAGTACAGACTGACTATAAATGCAAGTAGATACAAAAGTATGTACAAGAATGCAGTACCTATTGTAGACCTATCAAATTCTGGCCTACCAATAATGGCTGTTGTGTGATATTGAAGTTTGATGCCCAATCTTAATTTAAAATTGGTGAAATCATTTGTTAGGAAGGTGAGACACAGCATGTGTTTAGTGCATTGTACAGAAAAATACATGAAATGTTTTGTGCTTGTTTCAATTATGTTCCTAAAAATGGGTCTCCAATGGGACAATTGCATATTATTCCTTGGCCTATTTGGTCCATTTTCGTGCCAAAAATGGTTTTAGACTTGGAGGGACACCTATACCCGACAAATATGCAAATGAGTGATTCACACCGGCTAACGAAGAATAGTTCAAATGATAATAAAGACGAATTATAAATTTAGACATCTTGAATTTGAATTTTAATAATTCTTTGGGGTCAGATTATAAAGGATTTATCTCTCATAGATTTTTTAGTCCCAACGTATATGTCCTGCTTTTGATCAAACTGGAAATAAAATTAATTGAAGTATGCGTAAATTGATTCAAATATTTCTAACCTGTTGCAAAAAAAAAAACAAAGTACATTCAACTGCCTAAGTGGTAGTTTGCAAATCACAAGAGGCTATATAATCAAATGGGTGGACCCTCAAGTAAAACCCTTAACCAAGCAGGATATGTTCATAACCCCAACCAATAGAAAATATAACGTCTTTATCAAATAGTGGAGTGGACCCCTTTTCTCTCCAGCCTGGTGGAGACCTTGGCTATAATTAATACTTGATGCAACTACATCGCTGGAACAAATCCTACCATTGTGGACCCTAATCTGTCAATGGGTTCAATGGTCCCATAACCATTGGAACATCCATACCAAACAAAATTTAAAACAAAGTATTTGTTGTGTTATCTTTAGATTAACCACTTTTTCAAAAACTATCTATACTTTTATATGCCACGATTATCATCACTGGTTATGTATAATGGTGTCAACTTTCAGCAAAAATTCTTTGATTTATTTTCCTTACAAGGATCACATAGTTGTTGTTAAGGGATTACATTATAGTTGTGGTGCTCGACTTGGCATTACCCAATCATAATAGGCCGAAACAGATTGAAGAGTTATTTTTTAATATCTAGCCTAACTTTGGCCATGAACACCCTTGGCTAGTTGTAGCACAATTTCATTTAATTACACACGAATGATACTAATATTTTTCAAAGTTAGAAATGTACCTTCTAAGATAAAAATATTTGACCATACAAGTGAATTAGAAAAACACAAATATTCAACCACCACACGCCTAATGGCCCGGCTCTCATTTTCTTATTATGAGGTGCAATCCTTGCAAAAAATAATATGTTTATGTGGTGAAAAGATATCAATCTTTACAAGATATAAGATTTAAATTCAATTTTTATAAATTATACAGATTTGTATCAATTTTATAAGTTATACATATCGAGGTTTAACTAAAAAAAAAAGCCTCCAATATTCCGGCAATAATAATTGAGTTGTTTAATTGAGCAATCCTTTTATGGGTCCACAAATTTCTCAGCTTCTTGTGTCATGTTGTATGTCAATTGTGATCAAATGCTGGGACATCGAGTGTAAGCATTTTTCCCCTATGTGGTGTAGAGAATATAGCTTGATAACACATATCATTGGTCCAATAATAGTAGGCCACATAAATGTTCCACAAGAACAAAGTTCATCGCCCAAACACTCTAGCTGATCTGGACTGCTGGACATAGAAGGGGTCCTACTAAGGTGGACCCAGAAGAAAGAAATGACATGTGGTGATACGCTAGATGCATTTAGTGATGTGGCATGATAGGTGGGGGCCATGCACGAGATTGTAAGAACTGTCCTTCACAAAAAGGGATTGGTTGCCCTTTTTTTTTTTTTTTTGCCTCTTTTTTGTGTGGGGGATGGGAAAGGGAAGTTAGGAGAGGCTTTAAGACACACCCATCTGGCTATCTATCCATATTCATGTGCATTCATTAATCAATGTGGGTGAAATCAAAAGCAAAGGGAACCCTCTACAGGAAAAAGCATGATTCTTGTGGCTTACAAGGGAAGGGTCACTTTCTCATCCCTCCCCCCCTCCTCTCCTCCTTCAACAAAACAAATATGCTCGTACAAAATTACCCCAATGCCCTTCCTCTTTTATAGATTGCCATAATCTCCACTTTGTTCCATCTTTTGTCACTTGGTTTTTGTTTTCTTTTCCATTTTCAGCTTTCCCCACTATTGCCTTCTCTCCTTAGTTGATTTTACTAGGGAAAAAGTACACACTTTACCCGAATAATTTGTTGGAAATAGGAGTTGAAGACAAATTGTCTGATAATATATATATACATATATAGATTCCATAAAGAATAAATTGACATTTTGCATTTATCATCTTTACTAGATGAGCTGAATCTATATAGTTTAAAACTATTTGTATTCAATAGTATTATATAAAGGAATATATTCCAAATTTCTTAGTAGCAATCACGATTTTTTTTGTAGATCCATCACTCAAACATATTTTTAAAGATGGGTCAAATTCCAAACAAAATAACTAGATGTTAATCTATAGAAGGTTGGTTTAAGCTTTTCACGTTCATTAAGTAGTAGCCTAAGTCAACGAAGGTAGATTGAAATCCAAATCTCATAAATGATCATGATTTTGCATTGAAATCATTAATAGTGGTCCCATAATGATGATCTTATTCTATAATTCTTGTAATCTATATTTATTATCTTTTGTTATGATATGAATTTGTTGGATTATTTAGACAATAACATTCATTGCAAACCAAAATGACGAGAAGAGTATAAAAAAATAATAATATCAAATATTAGAAGAAAAAATCTAACTCAATCATCAACAATAATTCCTGCTCGATTTATCTTAGGGGGAAGTTCTTCCTCTCAAAATCATATGATGCAACAAAGTTCTTACAAGTGGGAAATCATTAAATATGTGTACAAGATTAAGATGAATATGCCTTTAATTTCAAATCTAGAAAAGAAACTTTGAGAGATTAAGATGAATATGCCTTTAATTTCAAATCTAGAAAATAAATTTCGAGGGTATATAGGTAAAATAACTTCAAAAGTATTTTAAAAAGAGGAAGAACCTCTTTACTTTCTCTTTGGGGCAATTTGCTGGCGTCTTATCTTTTCCCCGGTAGTTGAACCCGAGGACCCGTGATTAGGTTACCGGATATACCCGGTTGCAAAACACCAAATTACCGCGTAAAGCCGGTCAAATAAGAGTAGCCTGTTTTTTAGTGTGGGAAGCTTGGGGATTCAATGATAGATTATAGTGCTTATAGTTATAGGCCTTAGAGGTCTAGAGGGAGAGAAGAAGAACTCTAGAGAGAGAGAGGGAAGAAGAATCTGTGGTGCCAGCGATGAAGTAGAAGGATCAAAGCTTTCTCTGAGGTCAAAGCTGGCACTTGTTTTAGGGCCTTGTTCTATCCTCCGCCATACCCACCTCCTTCCCTTATTTACACTCATGTCCCTTCAACTTTAAATGCCATCTCTCTCTTTCACTCCCTTGCCACCTCTCTCTCTCTCTGTCTCTCTCATCTTTTATCTTCCCTTTCAGACGAAGAGGAAAATGAAAATGTGAGATGTTTTGAGAGAGAAATTGATTTTCACTATATTAACACATATATAGTGAGAGAAAGAGGTAAATGGTGGATCTTTTTACACCAGCCATGCCTGTATCTCCATCTCTTGCTGGTGGAGAGAAGAAGCACTGGTGGCTTAGCAACAGAAAGGTAAAATCAGTCAATCCTTCCGATGAAAGCTCGTGTTTATAGGTGTATACCCATTTGCTAAATGTGTATGTTTTATTTGCAGATTGTAGATAAATATGTAAAAGAAGCACGAGTCCTCATTGCGACTCATGAACAGGGCGAGATTGCTTCGGCTCTTAACCTTCTCGATGCGGCTTTATCTCTCTCGCCTCGACTTGAGCTTGCGCTAGAGTTAAAAGCACGATCGTTGCTTTATCTCCGGCGATTCAAAGAGGTCGCTGATATGCTACAAGAGTACATTCCGAGTATCAGAATAGACTCCGACGACTCATCGTCGTCTCTATCGTCTGATAACTCGTCTACGCAGCTCTCAAGAGAGCGAGTCAAGCTTCTCTCCTCCGGAGGTGACTCACCTGGACGCGATGAACCCAGTTTCAAGTGCTTCTCTGTTTCGGATTTGAAAAAGAAGGTCATGGCTGGTCTCTGGAATAATTGTGAAAAAGAAGGACAATGGAGGTAACTCAACCCTTTCCTGTTTCATTGATTTTAGCATTTTTTGGGAAAATATTTCAACTTCCTATTTTTATAAGATTGAATTTCGGACATGGCTTGTAGATTACGCTAAACCCCCGCCAAATTTGCCCCATGTTAAGAACAGAAAATGGAAAGTCAAATAGCCTTGATTTGAGGCTCTACACGTAATCTGGTAACCTGGTTTTGTTGTGTCGGATGGTCTACGAGTTGCTGAGTTGAGTTATCTGACGTGGTTGAAGTGACTCTGTTTTCTCTCTTAACTCTTGCAAATACAGGTATTTGGTTCTGGGTCAAGCATGTTGCCATTTGGGTCTAATGGAGGATGCGATGGTGCTTCTTCAGACCGGAAAACGCCTAACAACGGCGGCGTTCCGAAGAGAAAGCATTTGCTGGTCCGACGATAGCTTTTCCTTCACCAAGTTCCCACTCTCCAGCGAGCTAACTATCACCAAAGACAACCAGCCACAAACCCCTCCAAGGACCGGGTTTGAGAGCATTACCCAGCTCCTCAGCCAGATAAAGCTCCTTCTCCGCCGTAAGACCGCCGCCATCGCTGCCCTCGACGCCGGACTCAACTCTGAAGCCATCAGACACTTTTCCAAAATCGTCGATGGCCGCCGTGGAGCCCCACAGGGCTTTCTTGCTGAATGTTACATGCATAGAGCTTCTGCTTATAGATCCGCTGGTCGAATTGCAGAGTCTATTGCTGATTGTAATCGAACTCTGGCTTTAGAACCATCTTGTATAGAAGTTCTCTGTACCCGAGCTTCTCTTTTCGAAACCATTAGATGCTTGCCCGATTGTCTTCATGATTTGGAGCACTTGAAACTTTTATACAATTCGATTTTACGCGATCGAAAATTCCCTGGTCCGGCTTGGAAACGTCAATATGTGAGGTACACAGAAATTCCGGGCAAGCTCTGTAGTCTAACCACCAAAATTCAAGAATTGAAGCAAAGGGTTGCCTCAGGAGAGACTGGTAATGTGGACTATTATGCTTTGATTGGATTGAGACGAGGGTGTTCGAGATCCGAATTGGAGAGAGCCCATTTGTTGCTTACTTTGAGACACAAACCCGATAAGTCTACCAGTTTTATCGATAGATGTGAGTNGGGGTGCCCTCACATTCCCATTAGTACTAGGTCAAAATGCAAAACTAAATTAGTACAAAACATTAATTGTGAATTTTTTTTTCTTATAAGGTTTAGGTGGGTTTTACAAGTGTGTTATGTTTATGTAGCTTTACATATCTAAAACGAATTATAATAAACGCATCATTTTCAAAATCACCATCTGCACAACTCAACAAACTTCCTTTTTGTTGACAACCAAATTAGCTAGCTCCATTAATCGTGGTCTAGATTGGGTTCTGCCTTTCTCAAAGCAAATTAAATCATATTGCAAGTCAATCTTATCAAAAAGAACGGTTTAGTTGGGTTGTTTACAAGGGCTTTTTCAAAATTGATTGGTGTGGATAAAAAAAAACGCTCTAAAATTAGTTGTTACAGGTGTAGAATGAATGCTTATCCACCTTATATATGTGAATATTCAATTCATAGCAGTACAGACTGACTATAAATGCAAGTAGATACAAAAGTATGTACAAGAATGCAGTACCTATTGTAGACCTATCAAATTCTGGCCTACCAATAATGGCTGTTGTGTGATATTGAAGTTTGATGCCCAATCTTAATTTAAAATTGGTGAAATCATTTGTTAGGAAGGTGAGACACAGCATGTGTTTAGTGCATTGTACAGAAAAATACATGAAATGTTTTGTGCTTGTTTCAATTATGTTCCTAAAAATGGGTCTCCAATGGGACAATTGCATATTATTCCTTGGCCTATTTGGTCCATTTTCGTGCCAAAAATGGTTTTAGACTTGGAGGGACACCTATACCCGACAAATATGCAAATGAGTGATTCACACCGGCTAACGAAGAATAGTTCAAATGATAATAAAGACGAATTATAAATTTAGACATCTTGAATTTGAATTTTAATAATTCTTTGGGGTCAGATTATAAAGGATTTATCTCTCATAGATTTTTTAGTCCCAACGTATATGTCCTGCTTTTGATCAAACTGGAAATAAAATTAATTGAAGTATGCGTAAATTGATTCAAATATTTCTAACCTGTTGCAAAAAAAAAAACAAAGTACATTCAACTGCCTAAGTGGTAGTTTGCAAATCACAAGAGGCTATATAATCAAATGGGTGGACCCTCAAGTAAAACCCTTAACCAAGCAGGATATGTTCATAACCCCAACCCATAGAAAATATAACGTCTTTATCAAATAGTGGAGTGGACCCCTTTTCTCTCCAGCCTGGTGGAGACCTTGGCTATAATTAATACTTGATGCAACTACATCGCTGGAACAAATCCTACCATTGTGGACCCTAATCTGTCAATGGGTTCAATGGTCCCATAACCATTGGAACATCCATACCAAACAAAATTTAAAACAAAGTATTTGTTGTGTTATCTTTAGATTAACCACTTTTTCAAAAACTATCTATACTTTTATATGCCACGATTATCATCACTGGTTATGTATAATGGTGTCAACTTTCAGCAAAAATTCTTTGATTTATTTTCCTTACAAGGATCACATAGTTGTTGTTAAGGGATTACATTATAGTTGTGGTGCTCGACTTGGCATTACCCAATCATAATAGGCCGAAACAGATTGAAGAGTTATTTTTTAATATCTAGCCTAACTTTGGCCATGAACACCCTTGGCTAGTTGTAGCACAATTTCATTTAATTACACACGAATGATTCTAATATTTTTCAAAGTTAGAAATGTACCTTCTAAGATAAAAATATTTGACCATACAAGTGAATTAGAAAAACACAAATATTCAACCACCACACGCCTAATGGCCCGGCTCTCATTTTCTTATTATGAGGTGCAATCCTTGCAAAAAATAATATGTTTATGTGGTGAAAAGATATCAATCTTTACAAGATATAAGATTTAAATTCAATTTTTATAAATTATACAGATTTGTATCAATTTTATAAGTTATACATATCGAGGTTTAACTAAAAAAAAAAGCCTCCAATATTCCGGCAATAATAATTGAGTTGTTTAATTGAGCAATCCTTTTATGGGTCCACAAATTTCTCAGCTTCTTGTGTCATGTTGTATGTCAATTGTGATCAAATGCTGGGACATCGAGTGTAAGCATTTTTCCCCTATGTGGTGTAGAGAATATAGCTTGATAACACATATCATTGGNAAATTATAACCGGGAATACAATAATAAATTTTTATTTTTAAGTACAATAAACTTTCCCTGCAAGGGTGGAGAAACATTGTTTTATTAGTACATCTAGTAGTTAAAAATGAGGTTTGTTGAGAATCAATCAATACGCTTGGCAACCTACTGTGCTTGATTTTCATGATTTGGAGCACGCGTCTCTGCAACAAGAAAGTAACTATTGAGTGCCAGAAAGAAGCCAAGGGTCATCAATGAAATGTTTGACCATTATGATGGTGAGTGGTGTATTTTACTACTACTGTACCATTTTATTCTGGGTAAAACAAGCAAGCAAGCAAGCAAGCGTCATTGTACAAAAATTACAAGTAAATGCAGATTAGTTTTAATTCATTTTAAGTTGTACTATTACAATTGAATAGACATATTCCAATTTGATCGGATGTTTTACAGAGAAAATTAACATCAAATTTAGTAGTAATCAATTATTGTAATTATTGGTAGTGCAGTCTTGTCATTTTATAATGTGAAACTTATTTCTTGTGAATATTCTAATTTTGACTTAAATGATTTATTTTTGACTGAAAAAAAGAGAAGATTAGTCAAAGTGAGCGTAAGCTGATTCGGATATCCTGACTGTTAAACTTTAAAAAAATAAAAAAAAGCTTTATTATATTCTTGACGAAAAAGATTACAAATAGTGGGAAACTTTGAGAAGCTGGAAAATTTAGAGTGTACACATTATTTTTTGTTTTACAGGTTTCCACACCACACCACACCCCACCCCCAAGCAATGTAATTTATTTAGTAGGAGTAATGTATAGGTTTCTTGAGGAATGAGCGCTTCCCTTCCACGCTAATCAACATGCTACTTTAATTCGTTTGGGAATTTCAGTCTCTAACTTTTTTATGTAGCCTCAATTTACTCTCATCAATGAGTTTTGCCAAGATTGCTAATACAAAATGTTGTATTCAAATTCAAATTTAAGTAAAAAAATGAGTAAAAAATTTGATTTAATATGAACTTTTTCAATGGATAAAATTAAATTATATTCAAATCTTTTTAAAAATTTTCTTGCTGCATTAGCAATGCATGTGTGAACAGAAAATGTAAAGAAGATGTTCTCAGAAAGACAACCCACTTTCTTGCTGCATTATGTGCAGATGAGAGTGGCATTAAAAAATAGTTGTAGATGGGGGGAGGTGATGAGAGAGAGAGAGTCACGTGCATGCCAAAAACCAAAACAAAAAGAAAAATAAACGAAACTTTATCTAACATAAAACTCATAATTTATTTAATAGTTATATTAAATTTGGTCATTATAGCATTACTCAGGAAAAAAAAAAATTTGGTAGAGACCAGTAGAATATGTTTTTAACCACACAAATCAACCACAAAAAAGGGATATTGGTTAAGTTCAAGAGTCATTCAAAACAGTTCAATTTGCAATATGCTCTGATCAATGGCCTACTTGTCTTCAAATAATTCGAGCACTAGTGTTTTAAGACAGTTGAAATCCCTTGTGAACATGAGTAACTTTATCTACCCACCCTTAGCTGGATCTGCTGTGTGATATAGCTAATGGCTCCTCCATAATAAAAAAAATTGAAAAGCACCGCTTTTTATAAATATTAAATATTTTAAAATATAATTTAAAAAACAACTTCCAACTAGAAGTGTGAAAGTCGATAGTGGGGAGAAGGTGGAAGACATACCTTCACGTCTCAACTTCTTGTTTTAAACATGAACGAATGTCAGTCAAATATTTTCCAAATATAAATTAGTAATTGTCAATGTTTACTCTGACAAACATAATATATTTTCTTTTGTAACGACAGAAAAGGCCAGAAGGGGCTGTGCACAGTTTCTACCGAGGGTATCAATTTTTTGTAGTAAAGACTTCAGACTTCAAACTTCAGAAGCAATGGGGCTCTCTGATCTCCAGCTCTGGACTCTCTGAGTTCTAAACCTCTTTGTGCGTGCACGATCCTGCACAATATAAACATAAGAACAGATCTTTTTCATGGTGAACACGAGTCTGTTAATCGAGTGATCGATCTTGTTACTTAAAACAGGTTGTGAGGGCCAAAAGTGGACAATGAAGTGATGACGAATTGTTTTTAGGGGTCGCCTGAGTGATCCTGGAAGGCTAAAGGAGGTTTCTGGAACAGAGAAAAACGAGTTAGGAGGACGGCGGAGTATTTTCTGGCGTATCCTCTCCGACGATCAAGTCAATTTTTTTTTAGAGAGGGGAAGAAGAAAACACTGTGTATATATGTGAGGAAAGGTTATTGCGTACCTCGTCATGTGTTTGTGAGGACTATTTATACCTTAAAAACTCATCATTACTGACAGCATAGCCAGTAGGTGATCATTAGAGGTGGGCAACGTGCACATTGATTTCTATAAGAAGTGTCCTCTTTCTTAACTGCTCGGGACCCCGAGCAACTAATGCTTCATCCTCGGCCTGCCGAGTGTTTAATGACCTTATCTCGGCAGGGATATATTAAATGCCCGGTCATAGGAACATTTATTACCTTTCACTTGTAGGCCCTCATGCATTAAATGTTGTCTCATCAAGGGAAGGGCGCACTAAATGCTTGCTTTTCCAAATCGCGTATCAACAAGGACATTCTGGTCTTTTTGTCTCTGATCTGACACAATACGCCACGTGCCCACTCTCCTTTGGTTGAATCTTCTGCTTTTCTTGTGCCTCTTGACACTATTTGGGTAAGACGAGGTCATGATGGCTAATCTAGCCTAGCCTAGGCTAGTGACCTGTCCATCAATAGCCCCTGCAGGAGCAGAAACGCCAACGTGGGTAGATACACTTCGGTGTCGAGGGACTAGTATAGTTAGGGACCGATGTACCCCCAATCCGACCGAGGGATGCGTGTCGGTCCATGGCATACTAGGCATCGTTGATCCTTATGAATAGTACCCTCAGGGGAAAGGGATTATATACCGACGAGCACATGTCGTGATCATTGCAGGGAGTATCCATTGACGCCGAGTACACGTGTCGTCATCTGGAAATGTTTGAAAATGTCCCATCAACTGCCCCTAGCCTTCGATCTTCTGACGCCGAGGACACGCGTCGTAAGGAAACGAAGGGTTCTGCAACTACCCCAACCACCCCATCATTGCTTTCAGCCGTTTACCGCTGCTTAGGAGGTCGTGCGCATTAAATGCGCTTCTTCTTGCTTCATGCCCAATGATGGGGATGGGTACTATATAAACGGGCTCTCATTCTCTTTCCCACACTTTTGCCATTTCGAACTTTCAGAGAGCCTTCGCTTGAAATCTCGCCGGAGACCCCCTTCGTCATGTTGTCTACAAACCAGTCATCATTGGAGTTTTTAGGCCAACAGACCCCCTCTTGCTTTTGAACCCTCTGNTCTCAGAAAGACAACCCACTTTCTTGCTGCATTATGTGCAGATGAGAGTGGCATTAAAAAATAGTTGTAGATGGGGGGAGGTGATGAGAGAGAGAGAGTCACGTGCATGCCAAAAACCAAAACAAAAAGAAAAATAAACGAAACTTTATCTAACATAAAACTCATAATTTATTTAATAGTTATATTAAATTTGGTCATTATAGCATTACTCAGGAAAAAAAAAAATNAAGTCCTTCAGAAACCTTCGTTCGCGTTCTGGTGAGTCCTTGCATCTTCCTTCTTTCCGTCTTTCTGGGTTTTTGTTTTTTATTCTCCGGTAATCGGAGGTGTTTCTGGTTGTCATTGTGTGACCAATCCTCAGGAAATCCCTTGGGGATCTTCGTAGAAAATTTTTTTTCTTCCTCTTTAGTTTTTCTCTTATTTGGAGATGCCCCGACGTCGTCCTACCACCGAGGATCCCCAGGCCAGTTCCTCGAGGCCAAGGAAATACAAAGTGAAGGGAGACAAGCAGATCAATAGGTTTAGGGCTCGATACCGTATCCCCCCAAACGTAGGTATAGAGGAGTATGACCCAACTTTGCATACCCGTAATCTCGGGGCCGAGAATGAGATGCCCTTTTACACCAAAGTCATCATAGAGGGTGGAATAAGGTTCCCTCTGCCCCCTCTACTCCTCCAATTCCTCTCCCATTTTCACCTCTTTCCTGGGCAGTGTTGTCTTAATGTCTTTAGGATAATAATGGAGGTCCTAGAGCTTAATAACCGTCTCGGAGTAAACGTTGGGCTCAACGATATCCTTTTCTGCTACTCCTTGTTGAGGGTCATGCCCCAACAGAACTTCTACCTCAAAGCCAGGAATTCATCCATGTACCTTATAATTCACCTCCCTGACTTGGACAAAGGATACAAGGATGTCCTTCTAATCTTCAGTGGATCCTGACAGCGGGGGACTGGTCCCGAGTACAATGGTCTGATGTGCCCTTTTGAATGAAGAATGACAAGTACGTTGATTTCTTCGAGTCTACTGTTTTTGTCCTTGGGATTTTTTAGAAGTGTTAATAACCTTCTTTCTTGTGCAGACGTCTCCGCCCGGGAAGTCGCTTCTCCCCCTCGGTTCTTGGTGAACTTTACTGACCTCGTCACTATTTGGAGATTTATTGTCAACGACGGGTTCAACCGGGTCGCTCACCTTTTTCTGAACTACACAGCAGGGTACAAAAAGTTCTCACAGCTCCCCCAGCCTTTCGACCCTTTTCGGTGGTTTGAACTCTTCGATCAAACTGCGCAACAAGAGGCCGAGCAGAACTTGGAGGAAGACCCCGACAGGGCTACTGAGACAGAAGTAGAGGGTGCCCTTGAAGTTGAGGAGTTCGGGGCCAGAGAGACTTTGGTTCCTTCGCACGCCAAGGTGGAGACTTTAGGGAGAGATTCGTGGCCTGACTTCCACATCCTTCAGTCCCTAGACGCAGAGGACGCCTTCGAGGTAGCCATATCACACACGCCTTGCATAGACCTGGGATTCCTGAGACAGAGGCAGACCCTTGCCACCGGGAGAGGATGAGGGTCAACCAGCAGCGCCCCATCAACAGGGACCAGTGCCAACCCCTCTCCTCCGAGGGCCGCTGGTCGGGGTCAAGTGCGCGACCGAGTTCCTCAAGTCGAGGAGGAAAAGATCACCAAGCAAAGGCACGACGACCCAAGTAGAGGATCCAGGGCCCCCATACGCTAAACATCAAAGCGGGAGGGGTCGTGGGTTACCCCCTCCACCTCAACAGCAACAGCAGCAACAGAGGCAACAACAACAACAACAGTAGCAGAGACAGACTCCACCTCTCCCTCCACAGACGGTGAAAGCTGCAGAGTGGAACCCTCGGGTTATTAATTATATGAACCGGGTGATCAAGGTTGACGATTCTATTCTGCAGGACCCCCATGTCGCCAACGCAGTGAGCGAGACGCTTCATTTCGAGGTTGACATGGAGGCTCACAAGGGGTGAACAACGAACACGTTGTTCCGTTCTATCATTCAGAATTTTCTAGTGGTGAGTTCATATTTGTTTCAGCCTTTTCTTACTGCATCACCTATAATTGACCAAGTTCTTTCCCTCGCAGGCCACCCAACAAATTTCCATAATCGTTGTGCGATATCATGCAGCCAGGATGGACCTCCAACGGACCCAATAGTAGAAGGAAGAGGTTAAAGGAGCCCTGACCAGTGCTAAGGAGGACGTGGCTACCAGGGACTCCACCCTCACGGGGTAGGCTACCCAGATTGAGCAATTTTTCAAGGACAGCGAATTAGCGAAGGTTAGTGCTGAAAAGCTAAGTGCTGTCTTGGCCGACGCTGAGAGAAAAATCACACAGCAGACGCAGCGGCTCTCTGCGGCCTAGGAGAGGGCCGTAGGATCAGAGGAGAACTGCCTGG